TGTATATCCATCGCACATATATATATATATATATATATATATATATATATATATATATATATATATATATATATATATATATATTGTGTGTATTTAGGCAGCCCGGTTAGCGATTTGCAAAAAACCAACATAGTTTATAAATTCAAATGCCCTTTGGGAGAGTGTATCTCCAACGAATTAAATAATATTTATATTGGTCACACCACAAACTCGCTTTCACCTATGTAAACAATCATCTATGTAAACAATGACAGACTATCATCACTGTCGTGTCCGTATATTGCTTAATATGTTGTAATTGACATCTTTGATAATGGCTTATGTAAGCCGAAAGCTTAGATTGTATTAAAAAAAATATGGATCAATATTGTGAATTTCTTTCTTCGTTCAATGATAATGTTATTAAACTTATTAAACGTTACGAAAAATTTTTACATGAAATAAATAGACAACACTTGTCTATATTATTTAATGAAACGTGCATGAATATATATATATATATATATATATATGCATGCGTGTGTATAAAAATTCAGATATAAATAAAAATATATCTGTAAATAGACAATATGAATAAAGACAAAAATAAAACTTTTTTTACCGACACGTTTCGACCTCTAACGGACTTCATCAAGGCAAATGTAAGGTTTTTATTTTGCGACAAGTATTCATAAAACAGAAGTCAAAATATCTTTGGCTTCTCAAAATTTTGAAATTTAAGAACCCCCGTAAATATTCTTTAGGCTAACTGTGAAAGTCAAGGTAAACTATGTAGGATGCTAGTGGATGTAAGCTAATGCTTAATAAACGAAAGGGTGTGAATGTTGTGAATGTTGCTGTTGAAATTTTTTTTTTTTACCTCCGGTCTACACAATCTTGCCGAAGGACACATGCGTTTTATTAAAGACTCTCGAAAACCCAGGCCGGTAGACGAAGCAAAATATACCAAAAATAAAATAAAAACAAAAACGTCGACTCAAATAGATGCATCTACTAAATATAACGTATATAGTAATATATATAGTCATTATAAAAAGAGCATTTATATATATATATATATATATATATATATATATGGACAAACGGAAATAATACTCAGCCCTTGCCGACGCGTTTCGTTATTTGAGTTTATCAAGTCACGTGAAATGTTGTATTGTTGCATGAAATCCAGAAGTTTTTAAAAGACGCACCTGCGAAAGCCTCTTTTTGGGTATTAGTAACATTTTTTCTTTTCTCATGAGCACCGCTATATGGTTTCGATCGGATACCCAACAGTACAGACAAATCTAAAATTACGCCTCTAACATAATCATACTTATTATAAAACCCAGGTTGTGTGTGTGTCTGTTCGTTTATATATTGGATCGGATTTCTTACATTTTTCAACAAAACTTCACAGGACTACGTAAAATTACCTTGCGGTGGTTCTGACAGCGCCAAAAATTTGAAAAATACAGTTGCTTTTGCACAAAATCAATTTGAAAACACGATTAAGAGGCATCGCTATCGCGACAATGAAAGGGGGATAACTCATATCGAGTTATACTTATTATAAAACCCAGGTTGTGTGTGTGTGTGTGTGTGTGTGTGTGTGTGTGTGTGTGTGTGTGTGTTCGTTTATATATGGGATCGGATTTTCTACATTTTTCAACCGATTTCAACAAAATTTCACTTTTTTTTGGCAGGTAGTGTTTCTTATTGTCTTGCACACTTTTTTTTTATTTTTACATTCAGAATGCTTTAAAAATTCCATTTACAAGACAAAAATTCTATTCAATCGGGAGACTCATAACGATTGAAAACAATGTTTTTGTTTGAGTTTGGGTTTGACCATTTCGTAAAAAAAAAAAAAAAATAATAATTAAGACATGCGTGTCCGTCAACCTTAAACAATAATCTTTGTCAATTTTATTTTTCAGTCTTTATGATGGTCGATACTTGATCTATCTCTTACTGTTATATCCCCGGGCAATGCCGGGCTGTACTGTAGTAATAAATAACATAATAATAAGATAACATAATAAATAATATAGTAAGAATAAGATTGAAAAGAAGAAATAAGAAATTTTATTCAGTAATACATGAAGCCAACAGATACAAAAGAGAATTTCAATTGGATGCAAAAGGGCAAATAAACCATAATGCACTTATTACAGCGGCAAAGAACCTTAAGAGAGAAATCAAAAGTAAATGCAATGTGCCAGATGCAGAAACGCGGGCATTCGTAACCAATAGTCTGCCCGTGCTAAACAAGCCGGTGTAGACAAACTCCGTACCCATCAGTGGTTACGTAGGGCAGGATTAAAAACTGAAACCGAAGGTTTTATTCTTACTGCACAGGACCAATGCACAGGACTAATGGGCATTTCAAGTGGATGAAGAATAGCAAGTAAGCCATAATATACCTACTACAGAGACAAGGAACCTAAAAAAAAAAAAAGAATGTAAAATCAAATGCATGAACCCCATGCAGGCAGGATAGAAAGATAAACATCTTCAAGCCTAATATTATGCCAGTTCCAAACAAGTTGGTCTAGACAAACCCCGAAACTCAACATTGGTTAGATTCTGGGCTAAAAGCTGAAAGCGAAGGTTTTATTCTTGCTGCACAGGACCAATGCTTGCTACCTAGAAATTACCGAGTAAACATACTGAAAGATTGTGTTGAACCAAAATGCAGATTCTGTGATGAATATCCAGAAACAATTGACCATCTTGTATCAAGTTGCACAGCGTTAGCACCCACTCGGCACGACAGAGGGTGCCAGTATGCACACTGGAAAATATGCAACTTTTACGTGACGGAAACTGCAAGAAACTGGTATGAACACCACCCATATCCCGTTACAGACATAGGACTTTACAGTACACACCTACAGAACAATCAAAGTCAATCGCTCAGACATTGTTAACCACAAAGACCACAAAAACAGAAGGTGCTTTCTTATTGACATGGCATTCCCTGGAGTCTGTAACGTATCTTTGAAGATCTTCAAAAAACAATGAAAAATACAAGGATCTTGAAGTGGACATCTAAAAAATGTAGCAGATAAGGACATCAATAATTGCAGTTGTGCTTGAAGCCCTCGGTTTGATTGGAAACGGTTCTTCTGATAGACTCTGTGAAGGGATCCCTGGTAACCCATGCATTAAAGATATAGAAAAAAAACTGTTCTTGCAAGTACAGCTCACACCTTACGAATGGCTTTAGCTGTGTAAATCGTATGTGACCTTAGGTTTTTTTTTATTTTATTTTGTTTCTACAAAGGTGTTCATGATGGTATTTCTGACCTTTGGCCTCTGGTTGGAACTCGGAAGGAAATGTGTAAACAACAGAAATCAAAGGAAATAATAATAATAATAATAATAATAATAATAATAATACGTCATAGAACAGGTCGTATTATACACTACCATATCTATGCCTATCTTGGTTTAATAAAATCATTTAGAATTTGGAACCTTCAATATTTACATGAAGAAAAATACTTTTAAACACAATACGATTACTTCTTCTGGCCATATCACGTTGAAACATCAGTTAAGCGAAGCTGTTCCTAGTCCTCATCTTTTTCCTAAGATGGGTGACAATTTAGGAATACCAGGAGCTGTAAGCGTGGTAGTGTAATGGATAATGGCTCTGAATCGGAAATCGGAGAGTCGAGTTCGGATTCATTATATTCTTCTTTATGTGCCGTGTCACTTCAGGACGTGCACAATCTTGGCTCTCCACAATTTCCTGTCCTTTGTAGCTCTTAATAATTCTTGTCTTTTTGCTATCTCTCCTAAACCTTGTTCCGCCATCCATTTACTCAAGCTCGCTAGGTAGGTTATGCGTTGATTTCCTCTATCCATCTTTGCCTTCAATCTGTCCTGTGAGTATCAAATTTTCCAAACCCTCTTTCCTCATTATGTCTCCTAGAAATTTCAATTCTCTCTTCCTGATGTTCAGTAGAAGTATCTTCTCTGTTTCCATTTTCTCTAAAACTTCATCTTTGCTCACATGTTCGGTCTATGGTATTCTCAGCATCCTTCTGTAGAACCTCTTTAACAATAGTTATATTCAGTTACGCGCAAATATCGCTTGGAAAGGTATGAATCCTCCTCTTCTACCCTCAGCTATGGGTTAATTAGTAGAACTTGTATCAGTAAAATTTATTATTATCTCCAAAAATTTCTTAGAATTTAAAACTATTTTCTACCATTAAATAACCGGCAAAGGGCTGGTAAGCCGTAAACAGCAAATCAATCAATCAATATTGATTCACCGTCGTCAGCGGCTCGGATTGAGGAATCGGAGAGCCGAGTTCGAATTCCAGTCGAATCCATTACATTCACTTACGTGCTAACACCCTTGGGAAAGGTGTGAATCCTCCTCTTCTTCCCATAGCTATGGGTAAAGAGCAGGACAAACAGGGTTCTATAGCTTTGGATGGTAACTGGTCTACCGCAGAAAGAAATGGCAACCTACTGCGGGGAAAAAATCTGCCTCGTCCGTCATGTATCGAAAGATACATGATCGCCTAAGCGCGTATCACGCATGGCACATAACTGACTGAATGTACATTACCCGATACTCAATAATACGTTACCCTAATAAGTAAGAAACTCATTCAATCAAGCATTCCCGCATATATATTTACTAACAAATGAGCGCCACCCATTACACGTAACTTTGGGTCTATTGTACCCGAATATGTACCCTTAACACAATATCTAAACAAGAACAAAAACATTAAGATAAAAGCATATTTAAAAGGTGCTGCATAAGAAAGAGGTCTGTAAATACACTGTGAAGCCATTAATCGATCTTATATTATCTGGAATAATTTATAAGATGAAGAGAATAGAACGTTTTTAGGAGTTCTGAGTTTATTAGAATGCTTTCAGATTCAACGGGAAGCTGTTTCAGTCATTGATCGGAAGAATAAAGAATTGGATTATTGAACCTTTTACACATTTTTGTTCTTTTATTCTCTTTTTCTTACATTTTTTTTTTTTTAACAGAAGACATTCACTGATAGATAGATAGATAGATAGATAGATAGATAGATAGATAGATAGATGTAAAAAGGCAACTTCAGACAGCTATGAACATAGATAGATAGATAGATAGATAGATTAAACCAAAAATGAAGCAGATTATAGGCCGGGGTATAAATTGTGACAGATTGATATGAATAGATAGATAGATAGATAGACAGACACACACCTTTAATATAGCTTCTCTGTTTTTTTTTTTTTTTTTTTTTTGGTCGCTAGACTTTATGAATTTAAGTATATGCTACTACATTAACGGTAAGGTCTCATTATTTTACAGTGGTATACCTCAGCGTGGTGTAATGATTAGCAAGCTTGTCTTACCAGATCAGTTACTACTGAAAAGTGAGTTCGATCCTCACTGGGTTCCCCATACCTTTGGCCTTGTGCCACATTTAAGCTATGCTTAGAAAATCATCTAGAGCACTTCGACTAGGTGTAATGTTTAGAAAGCTTGTCTTGCTAGATTAATTATGACTGAGTAGTGAGCACGCTTTAGGCCTTGTGCCACATCAAAGCTACGCATAGTAAATCATTAATATGGGGACTAGTTAGTATTTTCATGGAGACATTGAGGTATTATGGTGGGTGTGGTGAGGAAGGTATGTAAGAATAGATGTAATCCGAAATATTCTCCTGTTATTATCGGGATGTAAAAAACAAATCTATTTCTATACCTGATGATGTCTGTATGCACAGATGAAAGCTTGTAAAAAAAAATTTAAAAAAAGACCTTATGCAACTGGAATTTATAAACAGGGATCATAACATTCATCTACAGGTTCGAGGTTAATGTAATTTATTAAATTTGTTTGCGAAGATGGTTTCTCGCCATTTATATCATTAACTTCTATATCTGTTTTTTGTATGAATGTTTCATGTAATTATATATATATATATATATATATATATATACACACACAAGGTGCGATGCGTAAATTGTCGCCATATTTAATTTTGCGCATATGTTTTGTTTATTTTTATTTTGATCTCTGCAGAGTATAGTAGTATCAGTTGGACACCACCTGTGAGAAAAAGAGCACCATGATGCACTTCAGTCCACTAGGAGTTTGGAAATGGCATGCAGAACTACTTGGCATTCACGCCGGAAGCTCCAATACGAACAGTGTGTTTGAATGTCAGTCTGAGGACAGTGCAGAAGATTCGGAAAGTGTTGGTTGAGTCTAATGGTGATTACGAAGGTGTTTGAAGTGATGGCGACGTTATGCCTCCATTCATGTTCTCACAGGGTCTCAGACTCAACACGGAGGTCTACATCAAATGCCTTGAGGAAGTAGTGCCGCCCTGGGTAGCTGCTGGAAGACCTTATGTCCGGCAACAGGACTCTGCACCATGCTACACTAACAGGAGAACCCAGTTATGGCTGTCAGACAATTACTGCGAATACATCATCTCTTACATCTGGTCACCTAACACCCCCCAGACTGCAACCCCCCCTTGATTATTATGTGTGGGGCGCAGTTGAGCGAGAGACCAACAAAACTCCTTGTAACACCAAAAATGAACTGAGCTACCAGAGGATGTACCCCTGCTAATACGAAGACGTATGTTGTTCATGATAGGGCTGCAGCACATTTTAGTCCCATTGTTCGCGATGCACTGGCTACCATTATAGTTGGATAGGTAGTGGAAGACCGATTTCATTGCCTGCGCGTTCCTCGGACCTCAGTCATTTGTATTTTTTAAACATTTTGTGCTGTTGCGAAACAATCTTTTTTGCATTGACGAACCAAGTTTCTATCTTCTTCCTGTCTATAGATTTTAGCGGTCGGCCAAATCGGCTACGTCTATTATATGTTCCAGTTTGATTTCTCTTATTGATTAAATTGCGGCGGACATATGACTCACTTCGATTAATCTTATCAGCTATCGATCTATTCGACAGCCCAAGATCATAAAAAGCAGCGACTTGGCCTTTCTCGAAGTCAGGACAATTCCAATCATTCGCACTGAAAAGCCCCAATACCAACATTTCAGAGTGTATCAATCTGAAGACAGCGCAGAGAATTCGGAATGTGTTTGGAGTGATTACTAAGGATGGCGACGTTATGCTTCCATTCATCATCCAACAGGGCCTCAGACACAACTTGGAGGCCTACATTAAGTGCCTGGTGGAATAAGTGCTGTTCTAGTTCAAGAGGTTGGCTGTTGGAAGACAGGCAGCAGGACTGCACTATGCCACCCAAGCAGGAAAACCCAGTCATGGCAGTCAGACAATTATTGCAACCACATCACCCCTTGCATATGGCCACCTAACTCCCCAAACTGCAGCCCTTTTGATTATTATGTGTGGGGCGCAGTTGAGCGAGAGACCAACAACTCCTTGTAACACCAAAAATGAACTGAGATACCAGAGGATTGACCCCTGCTAATATGAAGACGTATGTTGTTCATGATGGGGCTGCAGCACATTTTAGTCACATTGTTCGCGATGCACTGGCTACCATTAAAGTTGGATAGATAATGGAGGACCGATTCCATAGACTGCGCGTTCCCCGGACCTCAGTCATTTGCATTTTTATATGTGTGGGCTACCTAAAACTACTGGTTTCTGCAGCAGACATTAATAATGCAGAGACGCTTCATCAGCGTGTCATGGTTGTCTGCGAAATCATCCTACACCGTATGGAAGGGTCGGCCAGTCAATGAGTATACTTATATATATATATAAGTATGCTTACCTATCTGGAGAGGTGATCACAGCTTGTGGTGCCTTTGGAATATGCCTGAAGACTACACCACGTGTTTATCCCACTCTCGTGAGTGTAATTGTCTGACAGCCATAACTGGGTTCTCCTGCTAGTGTAACATGGTGCAGAGTCCTGTTGCCAGACATAGGGTCTTCCAGCAGCTACCCAGGGCAGCACTACCTCCCCAAAGCACTTGATATAGGCCTCCCCATTAGACTACTTGGGACCGTCCATGGTTCAGCTAGCACGAAGTTGCAAGTCATCGTGACCGAGCGTTTGAACGTACTGGCCTTGTTTAAACTGTTGACCACGCCAGATCATGTCCAGATATTTCGCGCTCTCCCAGAAACTGCAAGTAAGGACCGCTCAGCCTGCCTTAAGTATAAGCGTCAGTTGCCTGAAAGGGCGTCTGCAACAGGGATTGTTATTATTCTTATTATTCTATTATTTTAGTGACGCATTTAAGGGTTTTTGAAACTGAAGCCACTCTCTAGGTTGATCTACGGTTATTTTTTTATTTTTCTCACGGAGAACATGTTGTATGACTCTCGAATGAACAGGAATTACGTTCTATACACTCCCTCCCCCCAAAAAAAAGACTGTGAAATTAAAGAGAATTTTTGAATGATGTTCAAAATGGATAATAATGGATTTACGTTGAAAGAGAGACGATCTAGAATAAAAAAAAAAAAATGGATGGGGAACGCTCAAATTCACGCTCACCAATCCGATGATCGTGCAACCACTGACCGCTTTCGAATAGTTTCGCCTACCGACTTTTTCTGACAAAGTTTTGGTCAACTGGTGAAACGTTTTTTTTTTGTTTTTGTTTTTTTTTGGTCAGGTACTTCTCAACAACGCTAAATACAGAGACTGTATTCTCAGATCGATTATCGATATTATCAGGAATTCACCGCCTTAAAATAAAGCCTGGCATATTGAATTTCGAACAGCATATTTCAGAGACGGAAAGTTAATATTCTAATCACTCGGACATGCGCTCACAGTATGCGAGTAATTGAACCTCCGTCTATGTAGCGTGTCCCTTCAGGAAGTTGATGATCATTGCTACCCAGAATACATGTCCATTGTAGCTCATAGTAAAATCTTGTCGTTTTATGTCCCCAAAACCTTGATCCGTCATCCATTTACTCAAGCTCGTTAGGTAGGTTACGCATTGTTTTCCTTAGTCCATCTTACTTCAAACTGTCTTGTGAGTATCAAATTTTCCAAAACCTCTATCCTCGTTATGGGCCCTAGAAATTTCAGCAATCACTTCCTGATGTTAAGTATACGTATCCATTTTGTTTCCATTTTTTTCTAAAATTGGCTCACATTTTCTGCCCATGATATTCTCAGCATCCTTCTGCAGAACTACATTTCTGTTAAGACAAATCTCTTCTTCATCTGCGAGGAGGCACGGTGGAGTTATCCAGTCGAATCCATTACATTCACTTACGTGAAAGGTGTGAATCCTCTTCTTCTCCCTCCAGCTATGGGTTAAATAGCAGGACAGACTGGGTTCTATAGCCTTTGATGGCAACTGATCTAGGAGAAGGAAAACTCTAAATTCAAAACCTGCGGAGGGTCGTTTGGGGACCTTGTGGCACGTAGTGCACCAGGTCTCTGTATTCGGCCCTTCAAAAAGTGTGGAAGGTCTTGCACGAAACCTTCACCACTATAAAATCTCATGTGCTATACATGCGGGTTTGGGGACCGCTTGTGAATTCCAAATTCCCATGAAACTCCAATATTGGAGCCGGCTCAACCCACCCCGGGTGGATGCCGTTACAGGTACAGATACATCTGCGAAGAGATTCTCCAGCATTCACTGTCATATTGGACGACTCATATTCCTTAACAGCCCGCTACTTTTTTCTTTATTTCTAAGGAATTTTTTCCTGCCTCTAAATACTTTGCTTAGTTTTTTGAAGGCATCTTTCGCTATCCCTTATACACCTTCGGATTTCAGTGTCGCACTTTCCGTTCTCTGTTAAAACATTTCCCAAATATTTAAATTTTTGTACTCGTTTGATTTTCGTATCTCGCAATTTGTAATTTGCATGTTGGGCTGTCCCTTTTGCAAACAACCATACATTCTGTCTTCTTGCATTCAATATTTAGTCCTAGATTTACCTTAAACCCCCCCCCCCCCGAGTCAGGTTGTGATACAAGGTCGGTTTTTAACGTGGGGACCCGAGTGTTTCCACTCGGGCCGCTGGTCTAAACTGGTCAAAGTTTGCCTCAGTTACTCATAGACGGTCACACCATCACTACATAACAGCTGAGTGTCATGACATGGCCGCCCCAATCTCCTGACCTCAACCCCCATAGAAAACTTATGGAGCATTATAAAGTACAGGCTCTTGAGAAAGCAGTTGAGCAGCATGCTACATAAGTTTTCTATGGGGTTGAGGTCAGGAGATTGGGGCGCCAATGTCATAACACTCACTTGTTTCTCATCAAAGTATTCCTCCATCAATTTTTATTTGTGACAGGGAACATTATCCTGCATAAAAATGAGCTTGGTGGGGTTGATTTGCACCCTTTCAGCAGAAGGGAGCAGACAAGACTCTAAAATTCTCTTGTACTGATTGCTCCTGAGGGTCTTTTCAATAGGTTTTAAGAAACCAGTTCCATGAAAAGAAAAGCATCCCCAGAACATTATACTGAACGGATGCTTGACAGTACTTACTGTTAATTTCAAAGAGCTTTCAAAGCTTCTTCTTCGGATTTTAGATCGCTTATCCTTTGAATTTAGCTCAACTTTCGTTTCATCGGAGAAGAGAACATTTAGTAAAAAAATCAGATGAGTTACTTTTATCGAACAGCACTGTACTTGGCGTTACAAATAAAGTTAGACCAGTTATGAAAGCCTGAAAATGTTTACTTTCAGACTAGATATAACCCATAGAGAATGTTTCAAAAGTGTCAAATATCTGCTTGCGTACCCACTCTATGTTTTTAAATTATATTAGTTTTACATCAAAACTAAACTAGCAAAAGAGAAGAACAACATCTCAGATCATTCCTTTATACTTTAGTACTGGTTATATTTGGCTTAGACAAATTCTCTTTTCTATTGTATTTCTTCCTGACTCTGTCAAATCACAAGGTTATCTTAGAAGAAAACCTCTTGTCACTGGCACGCCACAATTGCTGAAGAAGAAGTAAGGAAGCACTTAACCTAAAAAATAATTATCTAACTGTCCAGACTGTAATAATAATATGATAATAGGACTTCTAAGATGAAATGGAAATTTTTAAAAATGGCTATGACATGTAGATCTTTATATGAAACCTGTTTTCTGTGTTTACAGGAAAAACTCGAAATCATCGAATTTATTATGAATAAAAGATAGTGAATTTTATATGGTATTTTTCAAGACTTAGCGTGAGTAAAACAAATTCACGAATTTGAACAAAAAGACCCTAGAATGATGCCAAAATCTGGACAGTTTTCATCTTCCATAGTTGTGTTTAGTTTATTTTGTAACTTATACAAATGTAGGTAGAAGGAATCAAATATTGATAAGAGAGAGAGAGGGTCACAAAGCACTGACTGTAACCCCAATCAGGCTTGGCCCTTCCAATCGGGATGTTCGAAGGTAGTATGCACTGGCTCTGCATAGCACTTATCACCTGGAGAATGTTTCAAAAGTGTCAAATATCTGCTGGCAAATCCACTGTTTATATTTAAATTAGTTTTGCATCAAGACTAAAATAGCAAAAGCGAGGAACCAAATTCCTGGATGTACCGTTCTTTACTCTTTAGTACTGTCTATATTTGACTTACACTAAATCACAATGGACCCAGACAAAAAAAAAAAAAACAAGAATACATTTATGTTTTTTGAACCTTTCTTTTCTTTTTATGTACCAAGTTCGTAGACGCTTATGGCTCACTCTCCACCGCCCTCTATCCCTTGCAGCTCTTAACATGTTCCTTCCTTCTGCCATCTCCTCCAGACCACGTTCTGCCATCCACTTGCTCAAGCCCGCTAGGTATGTAATGCGTTGTTTTCCTTTGTTTCTCTTTCCCTCTATTCGACTTGTGAGTATCAGATTCTCCAGGCCTTCCTTCCTCATTATATGTCCCAGAAATTTCAGCTACCTTTTCCTGATAAGTATAAGGCTTCACTTTGTTTGCAACCACTCTATCGTTGCTCACACGCTCGGTCCATGATATCCTTAGCAGCCTTCTCTCTTCCCTTCTATTCGATCCGTGAGTATCAGATTCTCCAGGCCCTCCTTCCTCATTGTGTGTCCCAGAAATTTCAGCTGCCTTTTCCTGATGTTATGTATAAGCCTCCTCCTTGTTTGCATCCTCTCTAAGATCTCATCGTTGCTCACACGCTTGGTCCATGATATCCTTAGCATCCTTCTGTAGAACCACATCTCCGCCGCCTCGATTCTCGTCTTCATCTTTGAGGAAATCGTCCAACATTCACTGCCGTAAAGAAGAACAGATGTCACGTAACAGTTCAGTATTCTTTTCTTTGTTAACAAAGAAATCCCCTTGCCTCGCAATACTCTGCCCTTTAAACCTACTGAGTGATGTTCAGCTCAGTTATGGAACTGTATTAATGTTATTAGTACTTAAGAAGAAAATTAAAAGAAAACTTCACATTACTAATTTAAAAATTAGAGTTTGAGTCTAGATCATGATTTTCGGATGAATACAACATGGAAATCAAAAGTGATATTTAGTATCCGACATATGGTTCTAAAAGCTTGTAATGATCAAATTAATGTATGAAAGAAATGCAGTATATTTTAAATATCTCATTTACAACAACTTTCTTAACATTTTGAAGATTTAAAATGTTTTAATATTTTGAAACTTACACTGAAAAACATTTGTCTCAGATATTTTTTTTTTTTGTCGGTTTTATTCGAAGTTGGGAAAATCATAGACAAATTGCTGACAAAATATGATAAAAATTGTGTTAATTGTGACAGAATTTTATGTTATAGCTCTAAAATTCACTTGGTATGGATCATTTTTAAAAATGTCTGGTTAAACCTGTCTGTTACTTAGAATCTGTTTCAAGAAGATTTCAGTGATTTTCCCTTGCAAAAAGAGGCAAATATTATCCAGAACTGAACATCAAAATGCAAATGATTGAAAATGTACAAGTTTTGATTAACTTCAAAGAATTATAATTTGACAAAGACTTGAAGTCAGGGCGAAAGTTAGACCATAGTTAGTTCTGATATTCTTACACTGTCTTCTATTAGACTAGACATAACACAAGGGCCAGAGCAAGGGTCCCATGATATCCCCGCTCCCGAATCTGTAATACAGCCTCTCCTGCCAAAATCCATGCTAGCAATATTGGTAATTTTACTATAAATAGGTATTTTTGGTAATTTTACTATAAATAGATATTGTTGGTAATTTTACTACAAATATGTCCTGTTAGTAATTTTACTATAAATAGATGTTGTTGGTAATTCTACTATAAATATACATTGTTGGTAATTTTACTATAAATAGTTATTGTTGGTAATTTTACTATAAATAGTTATTGTTGGTAATTTTATTATAATTAGATAGTGTTGGTATTTTTACTATAAATATATATTGTTGGTAATTTTACTATAAATAGTTATTGTTGGTAATTTTATTATAAATAGATAGTGTTGGTATTTTTACTATAAATATACATT